AAGGACCTGTGCAGAGGAGAAGTCCAGTAGAATATGAAGTCTCTGTCATGTGGAAGTTCTGCCCCACTTGGCCTGTTACTCCAGACCAGCATGGCATGCAGGCTGGTATGAAGGGTTTCACAACAGCAGGCGTTTGGTACATCGTGTATCGTTTGAAACTCGGCAGATAAAGTGATCTGCGCAGCTCCGTGACTAAGCCCTGCGGACAGACAGGTGAAGGTGGGGCCTTTTGGCTCTGCGCCAGCTGGAATTTCCCCTGCGCGTTTGCATGGCCTGCTGAGCTGCTCCCTGGACGCATTCCAGCGTCTTATTCAAACAAAAACAAAGGAGGAAAACGGAGACACAGCTCAGAGGTTGAAGAGAGCCTCTTGTTCTCGTGCTGCTTCTCTGCGCACATCCTTATTATCGGTGTGAAAGGCAGCTATGTCTGTGCATACGGCGCTCATCAGCGAGGCCGTTTTGGAGAAGGCACATGAGCTAAATCTAGAACAAGGAGGAAATAAACGCTCATTGTTCGTCCGCACAAAGGCGGGAATGTCCCTTCCACAACTGTGCATGCCGGCTTCATCAAGGGTTGAATCAAGTTTATGCTGAAAAATGTTCCTTGCAGGACAAATTTCTGAAAGCTGATTGAGTTTTCAGCCAGACGCAACTGATCTGAGTCTTTTTGCACGTGCAGACACCAGTGAGTCGTTTAATCAAGACTTAATGGTCAGATGGTCAGTTTCAAAACAAGATCTTGCGCTTTTATTATGTCATGGACCAGATTATTGAACTTTCAGTGGGGAATCTTCATGCATGCTGGTCTACATAAGCTTAGCCAAGGTCCAGAAACATAACCCCATTACTGAATAATTCATAGTAGATACTGAACAGTTTATAGTAGGTACTTCTATTAAGTATATCTACTATACTTTATAAATCATACTAGATATTGAATAACATAGTAGATACTGAGTAATTTACAGTGGATACTGAGTAATTCATAGTAGATACTTAATAGTTCATAATAGATACTGAACAATTTATAGTAGGTACTTCTATTAAGTATGTCCACTATACTTTATAATTCATAGTAGATAGTGAGTAATGCAGAGTCGATATTGAATAATTCATAGTAGATACTGAATAATTTATAGTAGATACTGAAAAATAGTAACTACTGAATAATTCATAATAAATACTGAACAATTCATAGTAGATACTTAATAGTTCATAATAGGTACTGAATAATTCATAGTAGATACTGAACAATTCATAGTAGGTACTGAATAATTCATAGTAGATACTGAACAATTCATAGTAGGTACTGAATAATTCATAGTAGATACTGAATAATTCATAGTAGATACTGAACAATTCATAGTAGGTACTGAATAATTCATAGTAGATACTGAACAATTTATAGGAGATACTGAAAAATAGTAACTACTGAATAATTCATAATAAATACTGAACAATTCATAGTAGATACTTAATAGTTCATAATAGGTACTGAATAATTCATAGTAGATACTGAACAATTCATAGTAGGTACTGAATAATTCATAGTAGATACTGAACAATTCATAGTAGGTACTGAATAATTCATAGTAGATACTGAATAATTCATAGTAGATACTGAACAATTCATAGTAGGTACTGAATAATTCATAGTAGATACTGAACAATTTATAGGAGATACTGAAAAATAGTAACTACTGAATAATTCATAGTAGATACTGAACAATTCATAGTAGGTACTTAATAATTCACAGTGGATTCTGAATAATGTATAGTAGACACTGAGTAAATCACAGTAGTTACTGAATAGTTCATAGTAGATACTTAATAATTCTTAGTAGATACTGAATTTGTTTATTAGATATTGAATAATTCTTAGTAGGTATTGAATAATTCATATGAAATATTGAATATAGCAGTTAGTTGGATCATGTGAATGCTTCGGTTTATGGAAACAGCCACAGAACGTCGGTCAGAATTGGTTAGGTGCTCATTTGCATATTGCAGACCTCTGCTGCGTCAGCATTTCGAATGTTGACCTCGCGATTGAGGTTATCAACCAATATACTGTACAGCCTTGCAGGATGAGGAGCCTGCAGGTTAAAGGGTTAAGGCCACTGTTAAATGTTTTTCCGTTCTCAGATCTGATACGGCTGAGCGCTTTGCTCGAGCACACACTGAACTGAGGACTTCATATTTCCACTCTGGGCTGCATTGTTAGCAGTGCTGTCGCTTTAACTCAGTGATTATGTGCTGAGAGCACGTCTAGGCCCGGCAGCGCAAAGCAGAAGAACTCGTCTGATACGCGTGTTGCACTCTGCTGTGTAAACAGACTCTGAGTAACAGGCTTAACACGGTCTGTTGAACCTGAAAGAGTTTTCACTTTAACTTCTGGAGGCATGCAGGAAATACCTGAAGAGCTCTCTAGGTGTGAAAGGCAGTGACTTAATGTAACCTTTCAGTGCTGTGAAACCAGCTCACCTCGAAAAGACACTCTTTCAAACGAGTTCGGTTGCCTTATGATACATTTTTACAGAACAAAAGGTGAAATATGATGAATCACAGCTGGTTTTTACAGTACAGTGCCTGTCAAAAGTCTGAGGACACTGAACTTTTCAAATTATTTTTAATAAATGAGCATGTTTTGTCGGTTTGAAGTAGCCTATCTTATTAAAGCTGAGGTTTATTTAGAGGGAAAACAACACTACATGTGTAAATATTTGATATTTTTATTTATAAAACACTCTCCAGCCATATTCCAGCATACACCGATCAGGCATAACATTCTGACCACCTCCTTGTTTCTACGCTCATTGTCCATTTTATCAGCTCCACTTACTATATAGGTGCACTTTGTAGTTCTACAGTTACAGACTGTAGTCCATCTGTTTCTCTGATACTTTGTTAGCCCCCTTTTACCCTGTTCTTCAGTGGTCAGGACCCCCATGGACCCTCACAGAGCAGGTACTATTTGGGTAGTGGATCATTCTCAGCACTGCAGTAATACTGATGTGGTGCTGGTGTGTTAGTGTGTGTTGTGCTGGTGCGAGTGGATCAGAAACAGCAGTGATGCTGGAGTTTGGGTTAAATGTGTTGTGGGACTCATAAGCGTCACTTAATCTCAATCTAATCTAATTACTGCAGTTATCTGAATATTCAAAAGGTCATGTAAACACCATACTCTGATCTAGAAATCCGATTCAGGAATCTGATAAAGAGGCTGGATTTTAGCTCAGTAATCAGATTTTTTAGTGCATGTAAACTCTTACTCTGATTTCTTTCGGATTTCTCAATCAGCGCATGAGCGAGATCAGACGGTGGATGACGCGAGATGCAGCAAAACGCTGTTGGAGCGGTGCTGAAACCAAACATGAAATAAAGCATTTAAATATTCTTCATCTTCTAGATGATGTATGTTTATATTTTCAGGTAAAGTGGTGCGATGTAAAAAAAAAAAAACGCAGCATAAAGTAATGTAAATCTGTTGATCGGATTACTGACAAAATCTGATTTTCTGCAGTTATCGGATTATTGAGTGCATGTAAACGGACTCATTGTTTTACAGTAGTTTTGAGATAGAACGTTGAAGAATTTGGCCTAAAATGTTTGACTTTTACTGACAAATCAGTGGAAATTCCCCTTTCAGCAGCTGTTCATTGTTTAATCGCAGCAAGAAAAGCAGGAAACACATATTTAACAGACAGACACACAGATCAGCAGCTAAATCTAATCTCAGTTGTCTGAGTGTTCAGTGAGTCACTCTCTACCTTTATTCCAGCTTCCATTCTGTTCAGGAGTCTCACTTTCAGTTCCTCAAAGAATCTGCAGACACACCTCCAAAGTTCAGTCTTAGAAGCTGGTTGATCATTTTCTGAAGTAATCAAACACATTCAGTGGTGTTGAGGTCTGGACTCTGGGGTGGTCAGTCCATCGTTCAGCTTCTTTGTTTGATGTGTCTGTTCAAGGACAGTCAAGAAACACTCAGAGAACTATTTGCATGATTAAAGGGTTCTTCAGATTGATGGAGAATCTGATGGAGTGCTGTAGATGGTTCTTTATAGAACCTTTTTGAAAAGGGTTCTGTAGCACCAAAAAGAGTTATGTTCGTAACAATAGAAGAACCCTTTTGGTGCTGTATAATCTCTTAAAAAGGATTCTTTAGTAATGAAAATGGTTCTATATAGAACCATGAAGACTCGAAGAACCCTTTGCATGATCAAACAGTTCTTTGCGTCCTGAAAGAGTTGATGGAGAATGTGCTGTAGAGTGTTCTATATAGAACCTTTTTTACAAATGGTTCTTTATAACATTAAAAAGGGTTCTTCTGTTGTTACCAGCTTGACACTGTAACAATAGAAGAACCCTTTTTGGTGGTATATAGAACCATAGACAACACACTCTCCATCAATCTGAAGAACAATTTCACCATGCAAAGTTTAATCATGCAAAGGGTTCTTTGAGTGTTCAAGGCTTTATGTAGAACTGTTTAATTGTTCTTCACTAAAGAACCCTTTGAGAATCATCTTTTTTTAAGTGTGTAGAACCCTTTTCAAAATGGTTCTATATAGAACCGTCTACAGCACATTCTTCATCAGTCTGATGGACCATTTCACCATGCAAAGAACCCTTTAATCATGCAAAGGGTTCATTAAGTGTTCATGGTTCTGTATAGAATCATTTTATTTACTAAAGAACCCTTGAAGAACCGTCTATTTTTAAGAATAGAGTTTTAGAAATTCCTGTTTTTGACTTTCTCCTTGTTGAATCAGTAATGTGTACCCGACAGCTGCTTTGATTGGAAATTAAATAAATGTCTCTGACTTTTGCACAGTGCTGTATGCATCCACAAACCTTCAGCGCCTGAAATGACACCATCAGCAAAGTCAGCCTGGTGTCTGATCTCTTAATATAGTCTGAGCTAAGCGATGATTGCCGTGGCTGCTCTGGCTCTCTGCCGTCGCTAATCCCTGAATGAGCTCCTCTGTTTTCTCTTACAGGAGCTGGAGAGCTTTAAGAGCTTTGTGAAGAAAAGTCCTGCGTTTGACGTCATCGTCGACGGCCTGAACGTCGCCAATATCTCAGCAAAGGGCCCAAAGTCTCAGACAGTAAGTGTTTAGCGTGCCAGTCTCACATTTACAACATCGGACACAGTGAATATTTGGCTCTGGGAGTCTCAGCTAACTGTATTTCTGCACATGCAACAGTGAAATTACACCTAGCGCAAAATCAGCCTGACGCCCAGTCATTAGCGTGTAGCATTAGCTAAATGCGGAGGCTTGAGTTTCGTGAATTACATGACATTTTTTTGGCCTGGTCACAGGAGGTGTGTCTCTCACCAGAGAGTTATGGAAGCAAAGAAACTTTGCATGCAAAACATTAGAAGTTATTTATAGCATTTATTCAGTTTCCCTCAAAATGACCATTAAAGAGAAAATGTCTGTGTGGAGATGCAAACGGAGTGGTTCAGAGCGGTTTGGTGTGATTTATTTATTTGTTTATTTATTATTATTCATATTCTTATTCTTGTTTTAACTGTGATTAATTTAGTATTATTTCAGTCATTTTAATTCATTTTAGTTTCCTTCTTTGATCTTATCCTCCTTTCGTTTTATTTATCTTCTTTTGATTTTATTAACATTTACATTTATTATCACTCAACAGTTGCTTGATATTATATAAGCTTAAATGGAAATTCTACTGATTTATTTTATTGTTTATATATATATATATATATATATATATATATATATATATATATATATATATATTTTAATGAAGTATTCAGATCTTAGATATTTACAAGGATTATGTTCTGAACTATTAACCCAAGGCATTAATAGAGATAGTAAAAAGCCAGATATGTGCATCATCATTTATAAGGTACTTTCTATTGGGAGGAGTCTGTTCCAAACCCAAACCCCTAAATTTCCACTTTTTTAAAGATATTTTTTATTTCTTTTAAATTTGAACGATTTAGATTTGTCTTAAATAAAAATAACTTGCAAAAGAAAATGCTGTCCCACATTTTCATGTCACTACCAGAGTTTTAGTCTGTGGGTGGAGCCTTATTTTAGCCACGCCCCTGTATGTTAGAGCAGGAAGTGAGGCTGCATCCCTGTCCCTCATGGCCACATGGTGAGCAGTTAGATCCCATTGTTTTGAAGTAAATGAGTCCCAAAGTCTGAAAATCAGTGTGGAACATTAAGAATCGTCATATTTTCTGCAGTTCGGAACTTTTTAGTGTTTTAATGATAAATATGATGATTTTCTGTGTGAACAGCTGTTCAGAGCTGTGTTTGCTGGTTGCGTTTTTGAGCTCAAAATGAGCTAAAATTGTAACTACCGGAACATTTGGTAAAATTTGGGTAGTGTTATGATTGTTGTAGCAGTGACAAAATGAAATGTTTAATTATTTGTTTTAATAAAATAAACATAATTAAGGTTTAGAGTCACTCAGAGCAAAAGGATTTTAGTCTGAAGCTCGAAATGTGTTTCAGCTCTGACTTTTTCTCCTGGACTAATTCAGTAAAATGATCTGTATAGCATGTCTAGCACCGCTGTCTCTTCAGGAGCTTTGCTCTCAGCCCTCTGCTGTAGTCAGATTTGTTATTTTGCACACTAGGAGGGGATATTGAGTTTGTTGCAGTTCAGCCTTGCAGACTTACAGAAAAGACCCAAACCGTCACATTTTCCACTAAACTTTAAACTTGTTAAGACCACCCGGAGGTACAAAACCCAGAATTAGTCACAGTCGAGAAGAGGGAAAAGTCTGATACCCTGACCAGACAAAACCTTCCCCATTCATTAGCAGCTTCTTCCTCCACAATATCAGAGTGTGAGTGGCACCGCCCACCCATGTGTAGCTGATTTGCATCTGATTTTGATCCAGTGTGAAAGCTTCTGGCTTTGAATGGTCTGGTATTTTTAGCTGTGTTATTCCCCTTCTCCCACTGAACACCGTATCACCCATACTTATCAGACGCAGGGCTCGAAAAGTGCAGCCAGCACCCACACTCGCGTCTAATAACAGTGATAAAACTCAATATACTCTGTTTTTTACATCACAAAATGTATTCTAATTATTCTATTTTAATATTCCAAATATATCACAGGATGAACCCACACTATACTTTCAGCCATGTTCACTGCAAAAAATGATATCTAGTAAAAGTATTTCTTCTGTTGGGATTGTTGTAAGCTTAATAAAAGATCGTCCAGCTTATTTTTAGACATCTTTACTTGTTTTAGGTCATTTTATTAAGTAAAACGATCTCACTGTATTGGCAGATAATTGTGCTTGTTTTAAGAAATGTGCTTGAGACCGGCAAAATTATCTGCCAGTATAGTGAGATAATTTTATTTAATAAAATGACCTAAAACAAGTAAAAACGTCTAGAAATAAGCTAAATCATCTTATAATAAGTGCACAACCATCTCAAAATCGGAAACTAGGACTAGATTTAAGATCATTTCACTTGACGATACCATTTTTTGCAGCGTTGAACTGATGTACAAATTTAAATCAAAGAAATTCAATTTAGCAAGACATATTTATCACTAAAAATCTCAGTGTTTCTTCCTTTTGCTCTTAGGGAGTTTTTCCTTGCCACTGTTGTCACTGGCGATGCTCATGGGGGCTCAGACCCGGATTTTTCTGTAAAGCTGATTTGTGACAACAGCGTTTGTAATAGTGCTATATAAATAAACTTTGACTTGACTTGACTTGGTCAAGCTGGTCCAGAAGGCTGGCAAACAATGGGCACCCGATCAAGGACGAAGAAGAACAGCATCAGACCCACAGGATGGGCAGCTGTTCAACTGGGCAAAGAAAAAGAAACACACAGAGAGTCAGTTCTGTAAAGAGGGACTGATCACAGTTTACAGGGTTTTGTCACTTCACTGAAAGGATCAGCAGCTCAGAAGTGCACAAAGACATTTGACCGCCAGCCTGCAGACGTCTGTGAAGTAATGACGAACTGAGAAACGACACTTAAACGTCATTAATGAAACCTGGTTTGACGTTTTGTTACTGAACACAAAGAACGTGATGGATACAGAGTTACACATACAGAAAAAACGGTCTATGAAGCTGTTTGGAATTATCAGGTTCTGTCTGCGTTCTGAGCAGTTTTGAGACATTGAGCTTCAAAGAGTTTGCATTCAAAATAGCAACACTGATCTGTGGAACACACCTCTTTATACGTGACAGTGACAGACACCCTAAATGTACTCTAAATGTACAAAATCAAAATCCTGTCAGATTTCTAAATGAGTTTTTGGAACAGGTCAAATGCAGATAGAACCTTCTAATCCTGAGAGTTATAAGGTTCTATCTGGCAAAACATGAAAAGAAGCGACGTTTTTTAAAGAACACAAACAGTTCAGACTCATAATTTGGTTTAAAACATAAAATTAGTGTCTAACAGAGTGTCTACATTATCAGAAAGTGAAATTTAATGCTTTCTATGTTATTTTTGTGACATTTATTTCATTTTAGCATAAATCATCAAAGCATTGCAGATTAAGTATAAAGGTCAGTGCTAAATATTGTGTCCAGTTCACAGGTCAGTTTCAGTGTGTTTCCTTTAGTCAGACAGAAACCAGCTACTGTAATAAACTGTCCCGGCTGGTCAGTGTAGCCGGTCAGTCTAAAGGCCATGTGAGGTTTTGTTTTGTATCAGAAATGTGACTCTAATGAGCCAAAACCTCGTATTTTGGGAGAAAGAAGAAAAAAAAGACGGATGAATGAATGAAGTTAATGTTTATGTTGTAATTAAGAGCCGATCAATTCAAATATTCACTATTTAATCACCTTTAAAGCTTAATATTTTAGCCAATCAGACTTTTAAAGAGCTGTAAGAAGACAGGCAGAGTTTCAGCAACATGTTTCCATGTTTCATAAAGTTTTATAGACCTTTTTTTAATAAACTGAGCAGAGCAGCGACATGACAAAGAAGCAGAACCCGATTGGTCCTCTTATGTGTATTGAAAGTGCTGATTGCCTCACAGATAGAACCTTATAGAACTACGTTACAGTTAGAGTTTGGAGACAGAACCTTTTTGTTTTCTGGGTAAAAGACAAAATAAAATAAAATGTGATTACAGTGGAATAATGTTAACACAATAATCGACTGAGCTCCAGCTTTCCTCAGTGCCCAAACACAGCCGAGTTCCCCTTCTAAACTCTCATTCACCCACTAAAAAACTGTAATTTCTTTTCTCAGCAATTCTATTTTTGGTTGGTTTTGCGGTGGATGTGACACTTTTGATTTACTTTTTGTGTAACAAACACAATGTTTATGAGATGCTGAGTCAGGTGATGGTGGCTTTAAAGTAATATGGGGATTTGGGTAAAAGTGTTGGACCCAAAGTGTTGGTTTATACTGTAAAGCACAATGACCACAGTACATTAATGAACAAAACAATTCTAGAGAAACAAATAAGGACAGAAGTGTCCCAAGAGGACGTTTAATATGTGCTTCAATGCCTAATCGCTTTACTCTGCAGTTGTATTGATGTTTGTAGCACACGCACTTTTAAAAAGAGATGGTTCTTCAAGGGTTCTTTAGTAAAGACAGTGGTTCTATATAAATCCATGAACACTCACAGTACCATTTGCATGCGTAAAGGGTTCTTGGCATGATGACGTTCTTCAGACTGATGGAGAACGTGTTGTAAATGGTTCTGTATAGAATCTTTTTTAAAGGGCTCCATATAGCACCAAAAAGTTAGAAGCTTGACATTGCAACACTACCAGAACCCTTTTTGGTGCTATGTAGAACCAAACACAGTCCCCATCAATCTGAAGAACCAGTTCATGCAGAGAACCATTTAAGCATGTAAATGGTAAAAGATGCTTCTTCAGTGGTTCTTTAGTAAAGACTGGTTCTATATAGAACCATTAACACTCTAAGTACCATTCCATGCTTAAAGGGTTCTTTGTTTGGTGAAATCTTTCTTCAGATTGATTGGGAATGTGTTGTGTATGGTTCTATATAGAATCTTTTTAAAAAGGGTTCCAAATAGCACCAAAAAGGGTTCTTCTGTTGTTACAAGCTTGACATTGTGACAATAGCAGAACCCTTTTTGGTGCTGTATAGAACCA